AAAAAAATTTTCTAAAAATCAGGTATTTGGGGAACATATCAAAATAAGACAGAGATGTATCAGAGTATTTGTGTTGTATTAAATTTCATAAGTAATTCTAAAAATATTTTAGCTTTAGATTGTTACAGAAATAGAGCATCGACCCTGAAGTCAGGAGGACCTGAGTTCAAATCCAGCCTCAGACCAAACACTTGACACTTACTAGCTGTCTGACCCTGGGCAAGTCATTTCACCCCAGTTGCCTTAAAAAAAAAATTGTTGAAGAAATAGAAATGAATAGAATTTTTAAAGTGCCCAGATGCTGGAGGGAAGACTGTAGTATAATTTTTTATTCACATCTTAAAATTTAACATACTTTTAAAAATTAACTTTATAATGTATACAGTGCTGGTGAATTTCATCTGCAAGAAGTTAGGAAGCTATATTCATAAAATAGCTTTGTGCCAGAATTATTATATTTTTCATTAGGTTTTATAACAATTAGCTGAAAAGAAAAACCAAATTTATTTCAAAGCTAGTTTGCCCAATGAATCTGAATTAACATTGGTATTTGGGCAGTGAGTGACCAATGTGTCTAGCACAAAGGATAGCAATTTTTGGATTTCATATATTAAGAATGGTCAGCTAACATCTTTTTGTGAGTACATTAAAACCATATTGAGAACTATCTAAAATTAGGAGAAAAAACTCAAGTACTCTGAAAGAACTGTACTTTTTAAAACCTTATTATTTAGTGAAAATGGTTCAATATTAGTAAGTACAGGCCCTTCTAAGCAATTATCCACAAATAAATGTTAAAACTTTTGGACCCCAGCTTATTTTCCTGTAAAATGAGGTTGGACTAGTTGTAGCTCTAGCATTATGATTCAAGTTTTATGCTATAAGACATAAGTACTTGAAGAAAGGTATAGATGACCTTTTTAATCAAATTTACAGGTCACAGCTAAATAAGGGTTAGTTAATATCTTGGAGAGTAGGATGCAAGAAGGTAATCTAGATTAGAATAAATATTAGAATAAAGATAGAATATTAGAATAAACCTTATGAGTATTTATTAAGCATTTATATATACGAGGCATTGTACTAAGCACTGGGCATACAGATACCCTAAAACAAAATGAAAAACAATGCTTCCTCTCCAGGAACTACCTTGCTTAAAGGAAAACAGCATATATGAGAGAGGAGAAGCATTTTTCATCATAAATCCTTTAGGACTGTCTCATATCTTTGTATTGTTGATTATAGCAAAGTCATTCACAGTTGATTATCATTACTGTTACTATATGCAATGTTCCCCCCCAGTTCTGCTCACTTTACTCAGCATCAGTCCATACAAGTCTTTCCAGGTTTTTCTGAAGTCCACCTGCTCATCATTTCTTATAGCAGAATAGTATTCCATTACAATCATATACCACAACCTGTTCAGCCATTCCCCAATTGATGGGCTATCCCTTCAATTTCCAATTTGTCACCACAGAAGGAGCTGCTATAAATACTCTTGTACAAATAGGTCCTTTTTCCTTTGCTTTTTTTCCCTTTGGGCAGTTTTAAAAACACATTCCCTCCAAAATTTATCATTTTTCTTTCTTGTCATATTAGCCAATCTGATACATGTGAGGTAGCACCTCAGATTTGTTTAAATTTGCATTTTTCTAATCAAAAGTGATTTAGAGCACTTCTTCATGTGACTAGGTAGCTTTGATTTCTTCATCTGGAAACTGCCTACTCATATCCTTTGACCATTTATCAATTGAGGAATGGCTTGTATTATAAATTTGGTTCAGTTCTTTACATATTTGAGAAATGACGCCTTGAGAAACCTGCTATAAGAACTTTTTCAGTTGTGATTACTACATATTTCCCTCCATCTTATTTTTCCCCATTTATCCTCTGCTTCTGACTACTGTTTTTCCCAATCCACTATCCCTTCTATCAGCCCTCCGCTTCTTTTATCTTCCCCTTTCCTTTACTTCCCTGTAAGATAAGATACATTTTTATATCCAAATGAGTGTATATTCCCTTTTTGAGCCAGTTTCAATGAGAATAAGGTTCAAGCATTATCTGCTAACCCTCCATTTTCTCCTCTGCTGTAAAACCTTTTACACTTTATGTCAAATAATTTACCCTATTCTACTTCTCCCTCCCCCTCTCTCCCAGTGCATCCCTCTTTCTTGCCCCTTAATTTTATTTTTTAAAATATCCCATCATAGTCAACTCACATCCATGTTCTTTGTCTATGTATCGTGCTTCTGATTGCCCTAAGTTCTTAAAAGTATCTTCCCATGTAGGAATATAAACAGTTTAATTTTTGAATCCCTTACGATTTCTCTTTCCTGTTTACCTTTTTATAATTGTCTTGAGACTTGTATTTTAGATTTTTCTATTCCACTTGTCTTAAGGAATGCTTGAAAGTCCTCTATTTCATTAAATATCTTTTTCTTTTCCTTGAAGGATTGTGCTCAGTTTTGCTGTGTAGGTGATTCTTGATTATTATCTTAACTCCTTTGCCTTCTGAAATATTATATTCCAAGCCCTCTGATCCTTTAACAAGGTAAATTTGGTGTAATCTTGACTGTGGCTCCAAGATGTTTGAATTGTGTCTTTTTGACTGCTTGCAATATTTTCTCATTGACCTGGGGACCCTGAAATTTGGCCATAAAACCAGGGGATTTTTCGTTTGGGGGTCTCTTTCAGGAGGTGATTGGTGGATTCTTTCAGTTTCTATTTTATCCTCTGTTTCTAGAATAACAGGGAAGTTTTTCTTGATAATTTCTTGGAAGATGGTAGGTAGGCTTTTTTTCTTTTTTATCATGGCTTTCAGGTAGTCCAGTAATTCTTTCTGTGATCTATTTTCCAGGTTGTTTTTCCAATGAGATAATCACTTTTTTTTTTCATTCTTTTGATTATGTTTGTTTCTTGATATCTAATGAAGTCATTAGCTTCCACTTGCCCAATTCTAATATTTAGAGAATGACTTTCTTCAGTGACATTTTTTACCTCATTTTCCCATTTGGCCAATTCTGCTTTTTAAGGAGTTCTTCAGTGAAGTTTTGTCCATCTTTAATTCTGCTTTTTTTAAGGAATTATCTTTAGTAGGTTTTTGTGCCTCTTTTACTAAGCTGTTGATTCTTTTCATGACTTTTACATCGCCCTTTCTTTTCCCAGTTTTTCTTCTACCTCTCTGATTACCCTGTCACTATTGTAATTTTCCATGGTCAGGTTCTTCTTGTTTGCTCATTTCCCCAGTCTATTTCTTGACTTTTAACTTGATGTTAAAGTTGGCCTCTGCTCCCTGGGTGGAGGGGGCAGAGTCCTAAGTGTCAGTTTTTTTTTTTTCCCTTTGTTTTTGCTGTTGTTTTCAGAGGTAGTTCTGGGAATCTGTAAGCTTTCAGTTCTTTTAAGGTGGAATGATCTAAGGAGAGGTGTGTTTACTATCCTCCTGGCCTATGCTCTGGTCTATGAGCAACCATAAGCATTCTTTCTGTTCTCGAACCACCCCTGTTCCCTGTAGCTGTTCCTTCTTGCCCGAGGACAACGTACTAGGGACTGCAACTGAGAACTGTATATGGGCAATGCAACAGAGTCTTGCACCAGTGCCAGCAGAGGGTCCTCTATAATCTTCTGACTCAAGAAAGGTGCTACTGATTCAGTCACCCCCCCCCTCCCCCCCACCCAAGGCCTGCTCTGGCTTGCTGAGGCACAGCCTGTGCTAGAGCATCCTGCTGGACTGCTCCATTCTTATCCCAGCAACTGACTTGTCCTGCCAACCTTCTAAGCTTTCTTGGGCTGGAAAATTATAATTTGCTTAAAACATTTCTTCACAGCTGGTATAAAAGTACAACTCACCTGTTTTTTAATTATCATTGATTACTAATTGATGGTTTGAACATTTTTTTTCCTCCATAAATTATTTGGTACATTTACTGTTTAAGTCTTAAACATTTTTGCAATATTGTTACAAGTTTAGCGATGCACATTTTCTTGAAAGAAGATAAAAATTAGTGAATAGCAAGCATAGTACTTTAAGGTTTGTAAAGCACTTTACATACATTATTTTATTTGAATGGCCCAAAAAACATGTTCTGATCTAGTTATGATCAATTTTTGTACAATAAAATCCTTCTTAAACCCTTGTAATAGCTACTATACCAAGTGAACTTCAGATATTTTAGTCATAAAATAATCTCCTTCAATTCAAAATGACCCAAGCACTTTCTGTTTTCTTTTTTGGGAGGCAGACAATACAAAAAGTTGTAGAAACTTGAAGGAAAGGAATACTTAACATTTATACCCACTATTTGATAAAATGAAAACAACTGGCCTTGGATGAACTAATTAGTCTGCCAATCACTAAGACCATGAGAAACTGTTTCCTGATACCACAAAAAGTTGCAGACACATGAAGTGTTTATTCTCTGAATGTATTACATCTAGTAAATATCATATGAGATACCTCCTAAAACAATGGTTAGTAGTGTCCAATAAACACAGATAAATAAGGAAGGCTAATCAAATTTAAGAGTTGGAAAGAAATCCGTCACCTAAACTCATTCATACATGACCAAGAATCCTGTCTACAAAGTAACAAGTAGTCATCCAGCCTTCTCTTAGTAGCTCACAAGTTTTCCTTCCTCTGAGCTCAAATACTCCTCTCAAACAACTTGGTGCTTTGGGGCCCTGGCAAAAATGAGAGAATACATTTAACTCCCCTATCCCATGAAACCTTATTTAAATACTTAAAGATAGTTGTCACATTCTCTACAAGTTTTCTCTTCTGTCACCTGAACCTAGTTCCTTTAACCAATCCTTATGGCAGCATGGCATAGTGGAAGGAATATTAGATGCAATCAAGAGGGTAGGTAGGTAGGTAGAAAGAACTCTGTACACATAAAATGCTCTCTTGGCATTTTTTAGTTCCCTTACCATTCCAAATATGCCTCAGACTGTCATGACTTACCTAAAATGTAGTATCCAAAACAACAAAATACTCCCGATTTTGTTTAGCTTTGGACAGAACAGTACAGTGGAGGTATAATCTCATTCTAAACCATGTTTCTGTTAATGAAACGCATGATCTTACTGTAGGTATTTATGGCTTTTATTGGTATGATTATTCCCACTGAGGGAATCAACAGCCTTTAAACATTGCCTATACTCTTTGGGACCTAAGGAAGCATATAAAAAAGTCAGGTAGTCCCTACCTTTGAAGAGTTTGTGTTTTTTCTTTTAAAATTTTGAACACCATAGACAAATATATCCATCCATATATGATATGTGATTATATATGAAAGAGGATTATATATGAACCTCTGAATATCCATTTCTCATCCCCTTCCTTAAAAAAAACCAAGTCATTACCATCCTGCTTGCCTGTGCTGAATGGCATGTGAAACACAGTCCAGTGCCTGATTAAATATAGTGGGTTAGGTTAAGATTTTACTCACCAATGTTAGCTCAGCCATAGAGTGGAGTACCAAAGCAAAGTTGAGGTGGATAGTGCTGGGCCTGAAGTCAGGAAGACATCTTCCTGAGTTCAAATCTGGCACTTTTGCCTCAGTTCCTCTAATGTAAAACGAACTGAAGGAAATGGCAAACCACTCCACTATCTTTGCCAAGAAAACCCCAAATGGGGTCACGAAGAGTTGACACAAATGAAATGACTTAAGCCAAAGCTGAGACTAGTTTGGGGAGTGGTAGGAGGATATGTGGGAGAAACATGGTGTCTAGGCCTAGAGGTTAGTTTTTCTTGCTGGGGGAGGGGGTAGAAGCTAGGCAATAGCAGGGCACGTCAAAATGGCTTTGTAGGGTAGGCTTGGTTTACTAGTGGTTGCTGATGCAGCTGGCATCTTTCCATGTCTTTAAGTTAGAATTTTTGAGATGCTTTGGCCAATAGAACTTTGTTACTGATTAGCCAACTTGGTGGCAAGCCTTTCCAAACTTAGCTGGTCTTCAGATGAAAGAAACACAACTCATTTCTAAAGTGTACTTGAAATCTTTAGAGCTCAACAGGAACTACCTGAAACCTGTACTGTCAGAGCCTAAACGGCCACAAGTAAACTATAGTGATAAACTAAAGTCAGACTTTAGTGGAGGAACTTAACATATGTGTTTTTCTGGTTCTAGGTCAGTGTTCATTCCCTGAGCTTTTACTAAAACCCTCCAGGTCTCTTTCATGCAATGTATTGTGTAAGCCCCATCTTTTCTCCACCTGTACTTGAACATTTGATTTTCTGAACTCAGGTATAGGACTCTGCACTGATCAGAACTGGTCTAACCTGCATCCATACACACACACACACACACACGTGTGTACTAAAATAGCATCGCGAGTAAACTGCTTGAACTTGGATAAGTTACTTAACAGTTCGTTCATTTGTAAAGACTCAAATGGGACAATGTGTACAAAACGTTTTGCAAACTTTAACATGCTATGTTAATATAGAAAGCTCTCATTAATTAATCAATGTATTTATTTATTAAACTGCCAAAAAGTTTACTGAGAACAAAATGAGGACATAGTGAATAGTGGCTAAAGTATCAAACAGTAACAATTACTTAGAAAAGTATAAAGTCTTAATGACATCCTAGTTCTATTTGCACTAGTACTATTTGCAATTACTAGAATCGACCCAGGCACCTGTTTGTCCTCTTCATTGAAAAGTAGAACAAGCTGTGAAATGGAAGCTGACATCTATTATACAGAAAGGACTCTTAGCTATTGTAAAGGAGGTCCATCTTGTAATCACAAGACAGTAAACTGAAAAGGTATGATATAGCATATCACTGGTTTTGGAATTAGAATATTCCGCTACTTACTACTTGTAAGGCCTTTGGCAAGTCACAAAAATGCTGTGCTTCAGTTTCCGTATCTATAAGGGAGTTAGTCTCTTCCAACTCTCCAATCTTATTTTAAGAATGCAAAGTCCCCCAAAAAAAAAAAAAGAATGCAAAGCCTATTCTTTAGGGTGGAAAGTACAGGTTTTTTTCTCCTTTACTTATATAAGTATCTTCCACTAATTGGTTTTGTGACTTTAGTTACTTTGAAGCCCAGTGCAATTGTTTCTTCATTGGAGGGATGGGGACTAGACCTCCAAGGTCCTTTCTAATTTTCTAATGTTTCTGTGATCCTTTGACTTGAAAGAATTGTATGATTTTTCTAAAATATTAGCTAAGAGTTAAACTGTATAATTTTTTTTCACATAAACCTTTTATAGAAGTTCTTAAATTTTATTCTTACCATTGAGGAAAAGAAAATCTGTATCCAAGATAAAACAAAACTTCTATAAAAAGTTTTCTATGTTCTTGCTCAATAGCACTTCAAGAGAAAATCTATGTAGATAAGTCTTCAATTTTAATTCAATTTAAATTATAAGTCAAACTGTGTACAGTCATTTACAAACTAAAGATTATAGCTGTTTCAATATAATTTTCAAAATTAATTACAATAGTCTTGCAGAATTTACAGTCAAAATGTAGAAAGCTTAACTCATGTCAATTTACATTTCATTAAAAAAATAGACTACCAGGAAGACTGTCAACCATTAAGAATGTCAATAAATAATGTTTTTTAATGCTTCAGTAGTTTTTTCTTTAAGACCTTGTGAAGGTAAGTCTTAAAAGATAATACTGTTGACACATAAGGATGATATAAATATAAAAGTAGCAATTTTGATACTTATAAGGAAATGTTTACTCATTTTACTCCCCCATTTAAAGAGATTTAGAATTGGAAGACATGGGAAACTATGCATTCTGCACAAAATGAAAAAAATTGTTTTAAGATACTGCTTGTTGAATATACACAAAACTTTAAATACACTAAGTAGTAGATATGTATAATAATAATCTCTTCAAGATAAGAACTTCTCCTTCGATATAAATCTTTTCCTAAGTAGTTGTATTGTGCAATATCATGCTTGAGGTCCTTCTTTGCAACAAGGAAAATAGTCTTCTGTCCTGAAAAGGATAGGAGGTTCATAGACAGTTTGTTGTTGCTTTGTAGAATACGACTTCTGGAAATAATTGTAAAAAAGAAAAATTATACATATCATATAAAGAATTAACAGGGTCTCTTTTTTAAAAGAAAGTTTTTGTTCCAATTGTTTGTTTATCTTCAAATTTCAGATTTATCTTTGGTCTTGCTTTAAAAAAAAATTATCTGCCACACCTTAAAACATCTCTCATGTATTCTCTTTTCAGCCAAGAAGCAATGCAGTTACTTAATTCTAACTTTTAAAAATTTCTTCCCACTCACAGTAGTGCATTTCATTGGTATAAGGAACTAGCTAGTGAGTGGTAAGGAAGCTCTGTAAGTACATTTAATCTACTGTGGGCTTTAAAAAAAACTATATACAATAAAGTCAAATTTCTCAAATTAATAACTTACATTAAGGAAGGATGGCACATTAATTGTGTGCAAAAGTTTCTTTAATGTGTTGGGGAATGTCCCAAGTTCTGCTTCTGCTTTTGTCACTTGCTCCTCCATTCTAGTCACGCAATTTCCAATCATTTTAACAAAGGCCTAGGTAGGAAGGAAAAACGTGAAAAAAACAAGGCTTTTTAGTATTATCATATGTGTGTGGCCCAATCCTATAGGTGACTGCAAAAGATAAAAATGTTAGAAAGTAATAAGCCTGCATGGAAAAATACAAAATTTTTCCTGCCTGCCAAACCTATTTACATAAATGTCTGTATATATGTGTTGAATGACAAAAGAAAAGGTAGAGCAGTTTAATAAGTGGCACTGATTTATTATAGTATCTAATTCATATTTAAAGGTAAACATTTTTGAAAGCTAAAACGTGCTTTTTTATGACAAAATGAGGTCCTGTCTCACCTAATTTCACCTATACATTTCTCTGGCTCTTACAAATACGCACAAAAAATTGATTAATACTAAAAATTAGTTTTAATGAAATCTCAGAAAGAACAGTCACCCATAAAACAAATGAAACCAAACTAGTATTGATGACTTTGGAGTCTGTAGTTTGACTGTATAAGCCTTCGAGATTTTATCTCATAACCAATTAAGAAAATCAATCTTCAATATTTTTTAAGCCCCAAACTATTTTCTGTACCCATTTCACTGTTTTCTAGGATCTCTAAACCCTTAGCCACCATGTCATAAAGAACCTAGTAAAAGTTAAGCCCTAAACCCATTGTTTCTCAATGACTTCTTCTGACAGTAGAGTAGAAAACCATCTTATTTTCCATTGGTTTTCAGGCAGTTACCAGATTTGGCTATTCCCACCATAAACATCTCCAGGATGTTATTCTTTATTCTTAATTCCTATAATTAAATTAGAATTTCTGCAATATAATTGCCCACTAGTCTTTTCAGTCAATACACATTTTTTTCAATTATAGATATGCTGCCTATACTGCTCGTTCTAAGTATTGTCTTAAAGTAACTGCTGTTAGAGTAGGAATAACATACATCTTTGATAAGTCCTAGGACAGTGAAGTTTCTAAACACAATGAAATGTCCCTTTTATTATAATATACCTATAGGTCAAAGTTTTAATATGTTTACTGATTATTACTGATTGTGCACTGATCCTTTATACTGGTTGTCTTAGCTGAGACCAAATTTGTGCCAACATAAAGATAAATAAATGAAAGGGAGTTTTTAAAACAAAATAGACAAATAAAATTTCAATAAAATGCAAACCTATATATCAGTAAAACATTGGAAAGCTGATGCTGCCTTCAAAAATCATATGAATCATAGGTACTTTTACAAAGTCACTACCTACCTCCAATTTGTCAATCTTTCTATATATCTCACTCATTTCAGTGGCTTTGGTGTGAATGTGAGGTACACTTTCATTGACTACTTGTGAGGAGTCACTTCGAATCTAAAACAAAATATAAATGACAGGTTTTATTTTACCATAAAGAATATTAATTAGAGAAAAATATGAACACCATTACTAGACTGCATATATATGTTGAGTTTCCATTACTTGAGTTAATCTGTGATTTTGTTAGTGTAGATATTCCTCATCAATGATACATATTACAACCTGTCCACACCTCATACTGTGACATCCCAGCAGTACTTCTTGGGGAGTATACTTCCAATGTGCTGATGGAAATGGAGAACTGACACTTTTCTCTTCCATATTATATAGGTACCAGTCCAGCATACAGGTTGTTATCTATCCTTTGCTCTTATTACATGGTTGGCCTGCATGTTCCTTTCCATTTATGTATTTCCTTGATGCCATTTTAAAATCTTAATTTCCCACTAAAGAGTGGGAAATATATAATATAAAGATAAGGCACTGTACTGGGTCCTGGTTATACAAAGATGAAAGAGACACTTCTTGCTCTCTAAAGTAGTTTATGTTCCACTGGAAAGATATCAATTAAACACAGGGCAACTTTAGTAGAAACAGAGCACTTAAAGCACTAAACAATGCCTTGAAAAATGGAATGGAAATTGAGAGCATCATGATTGTTTAACTACAAGTGCTTATTTATAAACATTTAAAGAACAACAAAATGAGTTCTGCCAAGACATACCATATCTAGCATCCCAACAAATTCATCAACTCTAGTTAGTAGGTCTTCAAGACTCCTGTCTAAAGCTTCTATCTGTAACAAAAAAATAGAATGTTCAACTGTAATGTGTTTCCAATTGACATACATGAGTTTACTGAAGGATCAATAAACTTTTGGGGCAACTTTCTCATCAAGTGATTATCTGGATAGAATATACAATGAAAATAACTTATTTTTCCATAATTTATTTATACTAATTTTTTAATACTATGTTATTCTTTTTCAAGTAATTTGTGTCTTTCAGTAATGTGAAGTGCCTTTCATTGACAGATCACAACCCCTCTGTGCCTTAACTGATTAAAAAAGAAAATTCATCATGTGGTAGCTAATCTTAAGGTATATCATGGGTACTATACTGATGAAATTAAAACCAGTTCTATGTTTCATATAGTCAGTAGCAAAAATAATCATTGTATTGATTTTCAAAACTTTTAATAAGTATGTTTCTCAGTTTATTAAATTATATTTAGCTTTCTGATATGGTAAATGAGTAGATTTTCAGGATTCCAAAAATATTAAGAACCAAAACCTCTCTCTCTCTCTCTCTGCTTACAAGCATACTGGCCTACTGATGATGGGCCATTACCAATACTACAATGAGGCTATAGAGTACAACACAGCTCATATGGTACTGAAAAGATACATAGGTCATGGTGTTTTAGAAGATGTGTGCCTAGTTGATGAATTTATCTTGTCTAGTTGATAAATTTATCTTGTCTATTAGGCAAACTGGACCCTACTTTAGTGAGAAAACTTACAGAAAGATGTGGCCTTTAAAAAGGATGTATTTTAGAGAACAAAAGAGTCTTTTTCTAAGCATGGGGAAATTGCATGCATGTAAGATAGGGAGCACTGGACTTGGAATCAGGAAGACTCATCTTTCTGAGTTCAAATCTGGCCTCAGACACTTAGTAGTTATGTGACCCTGGGTAAGTCACTTAGCCCTGTTTGCCTCAGTTCCTCATCTGTAAAATGGGCTGGAGAAGGAAATGGCAAACCACTCTAGCATCTTTGTCAATAAAACCCCAAATGGGGTCACACTGACTGGGACACAACTGAAAAAATGACTCAACAACAAAGAAGATATTGCCTAAGAAAGACTGAAAGCAAATAAGACATGGCACAAAAGGTGGAAAGCAGGGTGTGATGAGTAATGAAGGAAAGGGGACCTGTATCACAGCCTATTCTAGTCCACTGCAAAATATATGTAAGATGCACCAAAATAGCACTAACCAGAGATAGGTGAGCTGACAAGTTTAAAACCACAATTCAGGATCTGAAACTGATACAGAAGGGTGATAATGAAGTTATTGCAGGGCTTCTAGGACAAGGGGGAAAAAAAACCCTTCAAGTGCAAATGGCAGGAATGGAAAATTATCCTTATGACTGAAGATAGTGGATCAAATTTTACTAAGTATCCAGGGCCAGAGAAATTACATACTAGAGGAGTCCAAAAATCAAGGGATCACCTCAAAACCACTGTTGGTAACTTTTGAGAAAGCATGAACAGGAGAGGAAAAATGCCTAGTAGATTCTAGAAATTACAGGTGGGTAATTTTGACTTTGTATCCTGGGATTTCTAAGACCCTAAGTTATGAAGGAATTGCTGATACTCCATGGTGAAAGGAATTTCCTCCACTGACAAAATTATGGATACAGAACAAAAAAAAAATTTGACCTTAAACCTCAGCAAGAGTTTTATTAAAGAGCTGGTTTGTGAGCATCTAGGAAAACATGACTCTAAGAAAGGTTGGGTTCACTAAGAACAACTGAGTAGAGAGAGGACTGGATTTGAAGTTCAAATCCTAGCTGTTCATTGCTTATATAATTCTGGGCAAATTGCTATCTCCCTGGGCCCAGTTTCCTCATCTGCAAAAGGATAGAGTTGACTAGATGATCTACAGGGTCTCTCCCACTCTATTATTCCCTCCCTTCCCTTTCCTAACAACATATTGTTGTTACCTAACATTACCTAACGACATATTGTTATATGTTTGCCTTTGTATCCCTTGAATATAGCAATATGCCTTGCATAACTACTCCCTTCTAGTTCTAAATTTTATGATCAATACATTCCACAGGCAGCAAGAGGTCAGACCTTAGAAAAATTATTCTGGCAGCTATGTGGAAGATGGATTAGAGATGGGAGAGTCTGGAAATGATAGCTAGTATCTATATAACATTTTGGCTTTATCTAGGTTCTCATTTGATCTTCAAAACTCAGGAAGATTAGGAAACTATGTTAACAGTCCAGCTGAGAGAAAGGTACAGATGTAAAACATATCCTTACATGTATTTGCAAAATTGAGAGGTCAATGGTATAAATCTTATTTCAACAGACATAAAATTTGAAAGATAGAGATTTGGGGGGGGAGAGTGATGATTTATGTTATAAACATGTTGACTTTGAGCTGCTGACTAGATTTGTCAAGCAGGCGTTCATGAGGGATCAAGTAGAATTTAGGAATGTTAAGTCTTCAGTCTCTATATGTGGGAATCATCTGGGTAGAGACAATCATTTATATATTTTGTAAAAAAATCAGTGGATAGAATTCAGCAACAAGTATTAAGTCCCAAAGTCATACATGTATGGTTATCCATAAAATGCTCAGTGAATCACAGAAACAAGCAACTTAAGTGTCTTCTCGTGTTTCCCTCATTTTTCATAGCAAACTGAAGCTCAGGAAGGAACTTGTTCAAAGTCACATAGGTAGTAAAATGACAAGAGTCCAGATTCAAGCCTTACCCTCTCTCCAAATCCAGTATTCCTTCCACTATTCCCCTCTGAAGTTCTCAGACTCAAGGTATAAACATTTTACAAAGTACTTAGTTGGAAGACTAGCTTAACATTTAAAGGAAAACACAATATCTTAATTGAATAGCACAATCATCTTTTGGTTATTAAGTCTGTTTTGGGGGAATATTTTATTATAAATTTATTACTGTAACAATACAATGAAATAAAATTATACATAAACTCAAAAGCATCTTGTTAAATACTAGGCACTAGTAGTCCCTGTGACACTTTCCACTTTTATTTTAGTTTCCCACTTCTATCTCTTATGCTGTTTCAAAATGCACCACATTCAATTAGGGGACCTAATTGCTCTAAAAAAATTTTGCCGGGTCATGGGTGGCACTCTGAAGTGCTTTTCATATTGGCTCTCTTAACAGTGTACTTCCTCCCTTTGAATGAATGGGGGAGGTGGGATTGGAAGTAGTTCAAAATTGCCAGGCTTGTCATACATTATTTCCCTTCATGCACTCAAGTCCAACGAAGCTGATCTACCTGTTAGCATTTTTGAGCTTTTGCACATGCTGTTCCCCTTGCCCGAAATACACGAGCAACTTAAAGCTTTTAATAGCTTAAAACTGCACCAGGACTTTTGGGAAGCACATAATAGGCGCTTAAAAATGTTTATTTTTTCCCTCACCCCTACCTCTCGGAATGCCTGCTTGTCTATAAAGCTCTGCTCAACTACCAACTTCTCGATAAGGCCTCTACAGATCTCGTCGGCTGCTACTGCCACCCACGCCCGACTACCTTGTATTGATCTTGTCTATACTTATGTACACAACTCTCTCCCCGAAAGAATATAAAGGAACTCCTTGACTCAACCAACCAAGAAGGTATTAATTAACAGAAGCGCCTATTCTGTGCCAAACCCCGCAGATGTAGAAAAGGAGACGATCCCCACAGGTCTGGCAAGCACTCGTCCTCCGTGCCGGGAGGTGGACTGCTCGGTTAGGCTATCCCGGGCCGGATAATCGGGCTCGCCGCCCCTCCCTAACGCGGCGGATCACGGACAGCAGCCTAGCTGGGGGCGGAGAACGCAGCTTATACCAGGCGAGGGCATCAGGAAGTAGAAGGCGGCGGCTGTGCTCGCACAGCGAGACGGGGAGCCTTCCCACAGACCGCGGGCAGCGTCCTGCGGCAGCTCGGGGTGGGATGTGGGGGGAGGCCCAGAGGGGAAGACTGCCCTCCCCGGGCCCGCTCACCTCGGGGCCGCCTCCCTCCCCGGCCGCCGGCAGCAGGTAGGCGGCGTAGCCGGCGGCCGCGCGCTGCAGCAGGGGCAGGTCCAAGCCGACGGCATCGCAGGAGATTCCGCGGTCCCGACTGGGCCGCCGCCCGTCCCGCTCGCCGTCCTCCTCCTCCTCCCAGAGCCCGGAGGCGCTGCTGTGGCTCTGGGACACGTTCCCGCTGTCTCCGCTCGAGGCGGCCCCCGGGGGCTCGAGCTCCTCCTCCGGCGCCAAGCCCTCACGCGACCCCAGACCCGCGTGACCCCTCTCCATGGCCTCGCGGCAGCCCGCTCTCGCGGCGCCACTCCGCTCTCGCTGCGCCACTCCCTCCCCAACGGCTCTACCTTCACGCCCACCCGTAGTTCCAGCGGGGGATCTCGCGGGCGCGCACGCCGGAATCCCCTTCCCCCGCCTCCCTTTGTTGGCCACGCCCACGGGAGCTCGGACGCGACCCGGGACGCTCCGTCTGCCCCTCCCCCCCGTCTCCCCGCCTCTCTTAGTTGGTGCGTGTCACGTGCTGGGAGGAGGGGGCCAAAGGGGCGGCATTGGGAAAGTAGCCTGGGCGCTTAGGTTGGACGCGTCACAGAAGCTATAAATGCCGCGAGAGTGCTGATGACGGACCAGAGGCATGCTTAGTGTCTGGTAAGTAGGGCCCTTGTGCGTGAGTCTGCATCGAGAGGTGGAGAGTGTGTAAGCAGGAAATCCTTCACCCCCCTTTCCTTGCCCGCTAGCACCGGCAATACGTAACTGTCCTAGCGTGCATTGGACACCACCTCCGACTGAAGGGCCGAGGAGCAGAGCACTCATCTCCACCCAGTGCCTGCCTTTATAGAGGATGGCAACTAGAATCTCAGCTCGCGCCACTTACACCTGCAGGGCACCGTGAATCAAGAGGCCCCTCCCAGGACAAGCTTGTTACTTCTAAACACCACCACGCTGCTGACAAGTCCAGATGGATGCCACCTTCTTCCATTGCCTCTCTTCTCTGATTGGAGGAACCTAGGTTGGAGAACCCAACTCCTCCCGATACCTTCCTTTATATAGAGCAGAAACTGGCCTCTCAGCTCAGTACTTGCGTCAGCTATGAGTTGTCCTCACTCATTTTTCTTTTTATTAGTTGTATTCCCCACTGCTTAGCTCGGTGCCTGGCACATAGTAGGTGCTTAGTAAATGGTTATTGGATTGGATAACATTTTAGGTTCACGAAATATTTTTCTCACTCTAGTCTTAAGAGAGCATATGTAAATATTATTCATGGGTGAGAAAACAGACTTGGAAAAAGGAAGGTTATTCATCTGGTAAGTGTCAGGGCTGAGATTTCCCCGTAGAGTGATAACCATTACAATAGCTGACCTTCAAATTCAGGAAATTCCTAAATTATTTTATTTGGTCACCACCCTGCAGTGTTGGAGAAGTTTATTTTTCCTGTCAGGAATGCTGAAGAGCTCTTGAGTTTAATTAAGCTTTTCCTGGGTTGATTAAATGCTATGAGCATGGCATTGTAACAGCCCTGATGGATTCAAATCTGAAAAAAATTGGCACAATCCTTGTCTTCAAAGTGTTTACGACTCTTAACAGGTGAGTTAAGATGTATATTACATAGGCATGATAGGAGGGAGATTTCAAATAGAAGTAGAGATTCTAATAAGGTCACGAAATAGAGTGCTGGGCCTGGAGTCAGGAAGACTCATCTTTCTGAGGTCAGATCTAGCCTCAGATACTAGGGTCGCCCTGGGCAAGTCACTTAACCCTGTTTGCCTTAGTTTCCTCATTTGTAAAATGAGCTGGAGAAGAAAATAGCAAACCACTCCAGTATCTCTGCCAAGAACTGAACAACATTAAAAATCCTAATAGTGCTATAACAAAATTTGAGGAGAGAGAATAATAGCATTTTTATATGCTAAGCTGAGAGGAACTTTAAGTATGCATAGTCTCTCCAGAGAATCTTCCATTAATTGTAATAAATTGATATTTTCTAGCTCCTGGCAAAATCTATGCAAATATTCAATTCCCATGATTTTCCTTTATCTTTTTCAATACTTCAAGATCTTGTCCATTGGTTTTGGAACACTCCTCTGAGATGTATGTTGGAAACCCTCTACAACCTGGCTGAGGTCCTTTGACAAAAATTAGAAAAGACTCAGATTAGCAACTTCTCAGGTATGGCTGGGGCTATTGGACTTCACCATAGCAACTCCATTGTGGCTGGGCCAGAGAACTAAGGAACAGAGGGAGTGGAAAAGGATACCAGGACAGAGCACCGTATATAAGAGTTGTCTATGCAGCTCTCCACTAAGACATAGGGAAAGAGCACAGCATGTAGACGGGGCCAGTTCTCACCACTCAAAAGTCACTTAGAGTGGAAACGTAGGCTGGTGAACTATGAGTTTTCCAGTGTAGGAGGAGGCTGAGATCTTTGAGATCTGCCCCATCCCCATCCCCCAGAAACCGCAATTAGAGAAAGGAGTCAGTGTATAGGGGAAACCAGTGGGGGGAGAAAAAAAGAAATTACCAAAGATCTCAGGAAGAAGAAAGCTCAAAGATCTTGAACATAAACAAATAAATCATCAGGTAAAACATTAACAGCAGAAGGAAATATGGCCTCTAGATAAAGTAAATGAATTCAGGCATTTATGAATAGGTAACTGCAAAACGAAGGAAAATAATACAACTCCATGAGAAGGACCACAACACACTGTTTCTGAGTGGTTCAAAAGAGATACGAGAATTATAAAAACAGAATTTGTGGCCAGCACAGCAAAAACAATGGGCAGAATAGAAAAACTGGAATCTGTAATGTCAAGTCTCACCAAAGAAACACCAGAGAGAACAGTAGGTTGGGAAAGTAAATTTACAAATGTGAAGGACAATCTAGAAAAGAAGCAAAAGGCGCATTAAAGAAAATATGCCCACCATGCAAGCAAAACATACCGATCTCAAAGACAGAATGTGTAGAGACAACATAAGGAGAAACACAACAGGATCAAAAGCTTAACCCCATGATGCAAGGAATAACAGGAGAACTGCCCAGAACATCTGAATGTAGTAAATGAAGTACTATTTGAAAGAATTCACGGATCACCTCCAGAAGAAAATCCAAGGCTGCAAACTTCAAGACATGTAGTGGTTTGAGTAGTGGTTAAATTTAGCAATTTAATTCAGAAACAACAAGTTCTCCAAGTGATCAGGAGAAAGACCTTCAAGTATATAGGGAAGGAAATTCATATAGTGAAAGACCATTCCGCACCCACCAGAAAACCTAGGAAGAATTATAATAATGTATTCTAAATAGCCATGGAGTTCAAGATGTACCCCAGGGTGGCCTAATGGCAAATCTAAACTTAACCATACATGAGAAAAGATGGATGTTCAATAATAAAGAGGTATTTGAAATGTTCATAGAAAGAAAACCAGAACTGAAGAGATTATTTGCTTCTTAATACCCCAAATATGGGGGTATTAAACAGAAATATGGGAGGATGAATAAATGCATTAGGTCAAGATAGCCACAACAAGGGAGAGATAGCAAAGAGATGAATAAGAAACTTCCTTATAAATATACGCAAGAAGACAGGGGAGAAGGCAGACGTTTGGTGGGGGTAACAGTGAAGAGCTGGCTCAGGGGCTTTATGGGGAGAAGCCAGTGACACTCTGCCTAGAGGTGAATCAGTGTTTTTTTGTGTGGCTACATTACAGTATGAAAGGATACATACTTTGGGAGAGAAGAAAGTGTGATGTTCTAAGGTCAAATCAAGGGTTAGCGATGAGAGGAAGATGATCCCTGTGGTAGTTTAAAGAAAAGAACATACTTGAGAGTGAGAGAGCAGGGGGATGGGAAAGGATTGAAAAAAGGAAAAGAAGGAGGCTTTGCTTTGGTGGTGTGAGGGAGCTGCATTAATAAATACTCCTATGAATGAGGAGAGGTTGTCTGTGAAGGGAGATAGGGATCTTGCATTGAGTGTGGCCTGAGGGATTTTGTGCTTGAAAAGTCTATTCATCCTACTCTGGAAGGGAGGATGTTTGGAACTGGGAGGAGGAGGAGGGCAACTGGTGTCTGAAGGAATTTGAGGGCATAGAACTGGGGAGGAGATTTTGAGGCAAATGGGGAAACAGGTAACCAGGGGAGGGTATAGATCAGTAGTGTGGTGAGGGAGCAGCTGTACCAGGGGGTAGCGCCCTCTCTGACACCTGCAATAATTGGCATTGTTCTGGGAGTGAGACACAACAGAAAAGGGGAATCCGTGGGACACAGGATCATGGAAGAAACTGCTTAAATGGGGAAATCTAGAATAGATACCTTGGAAGTTTTGATTCAAAGCATGGAGAAGTCAGAGAAAAGAGAGACCATATAATTATAGGGGTAATGGATCAGAGATCGTGGGTCTAGAACAGAAAGAAAGAGAGGGTAGATAATGAAGAGAGTGAGAGAAATCCTTTTTGGAAAGGGGTGCAAAAAGATGAAATTAAAAAAAAACTAATGAACAGAACTAGTTGAAGGGAAGGAGAGGAAGGAGAAATCTACTTGGCAAACAGGAAACAGGGAGAAGAATTATATCACCAGATAAAAGCAGTAAATATAAAGGAACTAATAAACAAAATCCCAAAGGGAAAGGGGTAACAATGAGAAGAGAGTATTAGGGATAAGGGGAAGAGAGCCAGTGGAAGCAGGGCTACCTCAAAAAAGATTAAGTTAAAAGTAACTGGAGGAACATGTACTATTTTTGCAGAAGAAGGGGAAATCATAACTTGAAAAAAAATTAGAGACGGAGGAAAATATAAACCTAATTCATAACTTCAAATGCAAATGGATCAAACAGTCCATTAAAATGAAAAGGTGTGACAGATTGGATTTTTTTTAAAAGAAAAACCCTATAAGATGTTGCTTATTAGATACACATTTAAAAAACAAAAACATGAAAAACAAAATGGAGGGAATGGGAAAAAATTGACTTTGTATCAAGTGAATCTCAAAAACAGGAATTGCAATCATGCTATCCATGCAAAATCAAATATTTAAAAAATGAAAAGAGATAAACAAGCAAACTATATTATGCTAAAAGGAATGATAGACAACAAACCTATCATTAACAAACCTATATGCTCCAAATGCCTTCACATTCAAATTTATAAAGGAAATATTATCTGAGTTGCAAGAAGACAGAAACAGTAACACAGTGGTGACAGGGACTTCATTATCCCTCTCTCAGTTTTGGATGAGTCTAACAAAGATAAACAGAAGGGAAAACATGAAACTTAACAGATTTTTAGAGAAACTAGAATTAAAAGACTTATAGTATCTTCTAAATGAGATGGCAAAAGAATACACACATATTATTAT